TCGCCGCTTGCGGCCACATGCCCAGCGGCGCTCCCGAAGACCATTCGTGCCGTCTCGGGTTCTCGAGCTGAAGGCTCTTCATCTCTGAGGTTGCTGGATGTACCTTGGCGCCTGGAGCTGAAGGCTCGCTCAACTGTGTCAAAAGTCGCTCGACGGGCTGAAGGCCCATCCTCTATGTTCAATTCGCAGCTGAAGGCTGTTCCACTCAGCGCAGAAGGATCCAGGAGGGGAACTTCGGCGGAATGAAGGCGCAAGCCTCTGCAAAGCGAGTCGGGACCAAGGGCAGGCGTCTGCCTGTCTCCCCTCCCGACGCCCTCGCGAACACCCCCCGGGGGGGCCAGATCCATAGCCGCTAGCCCCCCCCCCCCCCCTCCACGTCGCAACGGCCCCTGGGTCGAACGTCGAGGGCGCCCCTCTGGCAATCGCCAGTATGCGGACCACGCGGACCTGGATCCGCGGGGGGGTTCGCTTGTTCAGGAGTGGGGCCCTCGCCCCCCGTAATCCTGGCATCGCCGGGGGCGATCCAGCTCTGCCCAGCGCCGCCTGGAGAGAAGGAGATTGGGCGCCCAGCAATGGGCATGGGAAGGGTTGGGGTGAGAGAGGGGGGGATAAGCTAGGCGGGAGGGCATCATGCCTGCCGTTATCAAATCCAGGGAAGCGACTGAAGGTCGCAATATCAGTGTGCATCGCGGGGTTGAACGCATCACCCCCTCCTCCCGTTTGGCTGAAGACCAACGGTTCTCGCGTGCATGTGGCGTCGGCGGAAGCGTTCCCGTTCCAGGGGGCAAGGGGCGACGGCTGCCCTGGCGGGATGGTGTCCTGTGATCCAGGGTGAGGATGCCTTGAATCAGCCAGTCCGCTGGCCCCAAAGTCGTCAACTGGCGACGCGGTCATCGTCTCTCCAGGGATGTCAGGGCCTGGATCTCGAGCTGAAGGCTCGTCGCTTCTGTGATTACCGGATGCGCCCTGGACCCTCGAGCTGAAGGCTCGTTCCGCGTGAGTATCTCGAGCTGAGGGCTCGTCACATCCGCGACTGCCCGACTGGGGGGCGGGTGGCTGACGAAAGTCTTCGGGGTTGCAGGAGTGTCCAGGGAGTTGACTGGTCGTTGCATCGCCGTCGGCGCCGAACAGTCCGCTTTGGGCGTCCCAAGCTACAGGATCGTTCGATGCTGCCGTCTCGCTGGGAACTCCTCGGGCTGAAGGCCCATTCTCTGCGTGCGAAGTGCTGTCAACTCCAGGAAGGGCGGTGGGCGCGCGGCGACCCCCGTCGCCTCTCGTGGCCACATGCCCAGCGGCGCTGGACGCGTCCAAAGGAGGGTGGTCGGCGGAGTGCGGGCGTGAGCCAATGGGATGTGAATCGGGGACGTGGGCGGAATGCGCTCGGTCCGGCTCGTCCTTTCTGGAGCTGTGAGATATGCCTGTGGAGACTCCACCATCCGCTCGGGGAGGCGTCGTGGACCTCTTGTCGGGAGGAAACGGGTCTCCAACCACGGGCGCCCCCTCAGCAGCACTCCCACCTGTCGCCACAATACTGTTGCCATGGGGGGAGCAATGGAGAATGAGGTGGTGGCCGACGGCCCCGGCGACTGGCAACGTGATAGTTTGAGCTCGCGCCGCCACAGGTTGAGCCCCAACCGCTTGAGCATCAACAGATAGCGCCCTCGAGATACTGTTGTCAGGGAGGGAGCAATGGGATGTGAGGTGGTGGCCGACACCCCAGCGACTGGCAATGTGATAGCTTGAGCTCGCGCCACACGCTGATAGGGATGAGGAGCTGTACCCCGACTGTCCAACTGGGGGGCGGGTGGCTGACGAAAGTCTTCGGGGTTACAGGAGTGTCCAGGGAGTTGACTGGTCGTTGCATCGCCGTCGGCGCCGAACAGTCCGCTTGGGGCGTCCCAAGCTGCAGGATCGCTCAGAGCTGCTGTCTCGCTGGGGGGCCCTCGGGCTGAAGGTCCATTCTCTACGTGCGCAATGCCGTCAACTCCAGGAAGGGCGGTGGGCGCGCGGCGACCCCCGTCGCCGCTCGCGGCCACGTGCCCAGTGGCGCCCCCGACAACCATTGGTGCCGCCTCCGATTTTCGAGCTGAAGGCTCTTGACCTCTGTGGTTGCTCGATGTGTCAGTCTCTGGTTCTCGAGCTGAAGGCTCGTCCTTTCTGAAGCTGTGAGATATGCCTACCGAGACTCCCCCATCCGCTCGGGGAGGCGTCGTGGACCTCTTGCCGGGAGGAAACGGGTCTCCAACCACGGGCGCTCCCTCAGCAGCACTCCCACCTGTCGCCACAATGCTGTTGCCATGGGGGGGGGGCAATGGGGTATGAAGTGGTGGCTGACGGCCCCGGCGACTGGCAAAGTGATAGCTTGAGCTCGTGCCGCCACAGGTTGAACCCCAACCGCTTGACGCTGATAGGAAAGAGGGGCTGTAGGAACGCCTGTCTGCCTGTCTCTGGTGCACGAAACACCGTCCCTTCCAGGATGCGCGTCCGCAACGTCCCTGGACCACTGAGCTCTCGACCCCATCCCAACGCCCTGGACCCCAGAGCTCTCGACCTCATCGCCGCGTCCAGGACCCCTGAGCCTGCCAGGTGTGTGGCAGCTAACGGCTGCACCGGCAGTGGAAGAAACTACAGGGAAGGACGTGCCGTCGTCTGAAGTGACTCCAGGTTGGCAGCTAACGGCTGCACTGGCGGTGGAAGAAACTCCAGGGAAGCACGCGCCGTCGTATCTCCCAGGACCCACAACCGAACTGTCATCGAGTCCCTGAGCTCTCGATCACTCTGGTGGGGATACGCAAAGCGTCAAGAATTGGTACCATAGTCGCTGGTGAACAAATGCGTCTGAACCATCAGAGAGTAACCGGCGACCCCCGGTGCGGACTTGGACCAGGTACCGTGCACCGTGGAAGAACATGCCGAAGACCGCCATCTTGGCCAGGCGAAAGGTGGCGATTTCAGCCGCCAACTTCGACCGCTCCGCTGCGGCGTCGCTGGACGTCGGCACTTCCCCGCCGAGGTCGCCCGCCGTGGCATCGGTGCCAGCGGACTGGTCCTGGACCAGCTCGCAGAGCGCAGAGCACGCCGCGGTTAGCCCCCATCCCGCCGCGGGACCTTTGGAGCTGGCGCTGAGGCCGTGCAGGAGGTCTTTGAAGGCGAGGCCCAGGGTGATGTAGCCCATAGTCGCCAGCATGCTCACGAGGCCGTGCTTCAGCTCTGTGCGGCGTCGGCGGGCGAGGTTCTCCATGTTGCCATCCGCTGTGAGCCCAGCGGGATCCCAAGAGCCGAACGGATCATGCACGCCAAGCTCGCTCTCGGACGCCTCCTCCACCTCGCCCTCGATGCCCTCCCCCTCGTCCTCGACGTCGACGTCCCTCTCCACCTTGCCCTCGCCCTCGTCCTCCATCGTCTCTTCCACGTCCTCGTCCACGCCCCCGTCCTCCATCGTCTCCTCCTCGCCCGCGGCCAGGGTCGTGAGCATGCTCACGGGGGCGTGCTTCAGGTCATCCTCGTCCTCCACCTCGGCATTGAGGGCCCCGAGGTACGACGTGCAGCCGGCAGGGTCCCAAAGGCCCGAGGGGGCCTGAACGCCCGGCTCGCTCTCGTCGTTGCTGGCGCGCAGCGGGGATCCAGTGGGCGGCGCCCAGCCGCCCCCAGCAGAGTCAGTGCTGCCGGGCACCGCAAGGCCGGCCGCCGTGCCGCCCGCCGCCGCCGCTGCCGGCGACGAGCCGGCGGCGGCAGCAGCGGCGGCAGCGGCAGCAGCCGCGGCAAGGACGGCAGGGGCGGCACCGCCACCGGGCAAGGAGGCCGCGGCAGCCGCGACGCCAGCCGCGGCGGCCGCCGCCGGTGGCACGCCTGAAGCGGCCGCGGCGGCGGCGGTGGCGGCAGCGGCGGCGAGTGCATCGGCGGGCGGGCCACCGCCGCCAGCGGCGGCGGCGGCCAGCCCCGGCGGCCCGCGGGCGGCAGCAGCCACCCGCTGCCGCCGCCGCAGGGCAGCGCCGGTGGCGGCGCAGGCGGCAGACATGTCGGCCACGGCCCGGGCGCGTACCTGAGAAGGGTCGGGCTCGAGCCGAGATGGCTTGAGCCAGAGGGGTACGGAGCGGGCTGGTGGTGGTACACGAAGTGTCAACAATTTCAACGCGGGAGTGTGGATGGGGATAGGGGAATGGGTCGGCTGCCGAGAAAATTGCGTTGGCGACGTACCCAGCCCATTTGCAACGATTGAATATGGCAAGCGCCCATACCATACGCATGCTGGTATGAACAATAACTCGATCTGGCGTGAAAGATACACGGGGGGCTTGCGCAACATACGATTCATGGAACAGAAAAGATTGAAAGAATATCTCAACTTGTACATCGGATAGAAGCATGATCTATCCACGAGCCTGGGAAGGGAAATATAATTGAGAAGCAGGGAAACGTTTCCCAAACAACAAACTTGGTCGACTGGCAATTGCAATGCTCAACATAACGATGGAGGACGATAATGCACGACGAATGCATTGGAGGACGGAAGGGAGCTTGAAGATGTGAACATGGAGGAGGGCGCAGAGGATGAATAGGCTACGTGGGAGGATGGCACGGAAGCGAGGAGGAAATTACGGGGGAGCAGCAGCATCAACAGAATATGACTGAGACGCATGAGCCAAGGCTTCGCGCGTACGCCTCCTGCCCCCCCCCTCCTCTGGGGAGACGAAGAGGTCAAAGAGAGGGGGGGGGCCCCCTTCCCTCCCCATCCCCGTCCCTCGCCCTCCCAGCCACCCTGTACCCCCCCCCGACTCCCTGAGAAGAGGATGGCAAGTGGGATGGAGGCAAGGTGATCGCTCGCCATCGCTCGGACGTCCACTCCCGGTGTGTTTTTTCGATTTCGTGCGTATACGCTTCATCGGATGCGTCGAGATGCTCCTCGACGGCCCCCGCCGAGGAGCAGTGCACGCCTCCGGGCGGCACCGAGATCGAGATGGGCACAGCACGGGGCAGGCGCAGACTCCGGGCCCCGGGGCCTCCTGCCGAGGCGGTAGTGGCTCTCCACGACGCCCGTCGCCTGCCAGTGCACCGTGGCAGTCTGGGAGCTCCTGTCCGGGGGGGGGGGGGGGAGGAAGGGGAGCAGAGGAAGGAGGGGGCAGGATGAGGCCGCCAGCAACGAGTGTGCTCCCCAAGCGCTGAGCAAAGCACCGCGCAGCCCTCACGTTTGCCTCACACCGCTCATCGTGCACGTGCATTTCGTAGCCTTTTCAATCCTCCTTCTTATCACTTCTTGGTATTTCGTATCCATATGGTATTGTCCCCCCCTCTTGGTACTGCCGAGGGCTGGGTTACTCTCGCCCTGTCGGGCTACGATTCTTTGCTTTATTCCGTGCCCGACCTTTGCTGCACCCGTCCGCGGCACAAGTTGTTCGCTCACTCCGCCTGAGTCGGCGCTGATTCTCTCTCATAGAACGCGACAGCCGCAATCTTCATGTCTGGCAAACGTCAAAAAAAGGAAGGAGCGGAAAAAAAAACGAGGGAGGACTCGCCCATGTTCCGATAAGCCCCTCAGCCTCAAGATCAAGCGACTGCTTCGACGACCACATTGCACATGCTGGGCCTGCAGTGACTTAGAGAGCGAACTGTCAACGGGCTTTGCAACAGCTGGGCTGGACGGGCACTCGCCGCGGCCCTCCACCTGCGAGGAGACTACAAGGCTGCTCGAACCGAGGAGGTGTGCAAGCGGCGGCACACGATCACAGGTTGGCAAAGTGCTGATGCCACGATGAGTGCCCTGGGTGAGTTGCGTGCCTCTGGGCCAGAAGGCAAGGATGTACAAAGGGGGTGGGAAAGAACTCGCTGATCACGGACGCGCCTCCACGCCGCCAGCCTCATTTTTGCACATGCAGGCATGTGTCCCGAGCAGGGCCTACCTGCAACCGCCATAACCAATCATACATAATGGAAATGCACAATATATGTAGATGTATTCCCGTGTCTAAATGTCCAGTTCCGCATGTACATAAAAAGTACACATGCAACTACACATGCATGTATATAGGTATGGACTAAAACCACACGCGCTTCACGCGCGCTTAGGTTCCAGCTCGGCGCAAGCAAAGGATTTGCGGTGAAACCATGGGGAAGGAAGTAGGTGCATGATAATCGAGGTCCTACTGGACATTCACGGAGGACCGGAGGCCATGATGAATGAGGACACACAAAGACAAGCACAGGTGTGAGGGAACGAAAATCACAAGAAAATCAAGGAAAACAAACAACAGAGAGAATGCGTTTCACGGGCGCTTGCCTGGGTAACAGTCGGCGGCGTGTTTCGAACCGGGGGGGGGCCCCCTCCAACACTCGGCGCCGTCGATCAAAACCAGGAGGACTCCCCTCCCCCCCGACCCCCCCCCCTCCCGAACCCCGTCCCCCCCCCCCTCCTCCTAAGGAGGGGGGGGGTTCAAAACCGCCCCCCTCTCGGCGCCGGCGCCGGCGCTGGCGGCCGCCAGCAGCGCCCACGGCGGGGACGCAGCGACGATGACCAGAGGCAGCCCAAATGGGCGGGGGGGTTCAAATCCTCCCCCCCCTTTTGCGCCAGGGGGGGGGTTCAAACCCCCCCCCTTCGCGTCGGCGCCGGCGCTGGCGGCGGCCAGCAGCGCCGGCGCTGGCGCCAGCGACGGCAGGGACGCAGCGACACTTACCACCACTACCACCACCACCACCACCCCCACACCACCACACCACCACCACCACCTCAACCCACCACCACCACCACCACCAACAGCACCACAACCACCACCACCACAGCCACCACCACAACCACAACCACCCCACACCCACCATCACCACCACCATACCACCACAAAAACCCGCCACCACTACCACCACCACCACAATCTACCACACCACCACCACCACCACCACCACCGCCACAACCACCATACAAACCACCACACCACCACCCACCACCCGCCACCACCACCACCACACCACGTCCACAAACCACCGCCACCACCATAACCCACCACCACCACCACAAACCACCACCACACCACCACAACCACCACCACCACAACTCACCATCACCACCACCACCACCACCAAACCCACCACCACTACCACCACCACCACCACAATCTACCACAACACCAACACCACCGCCACAACCACCACCACTACCAGCAGCACAACCCACCACAACCACAAACCACCACACCACCACCACCACCGCCACCAGCACCACCAGCACCACCAGCACCACCTCCACAAACCACCGCCACAACCACAACCCACCACCACCACCACCACAAACCACCACAAACCACCACCAAACCACCACCACTACAACAAACCACCACCACCACCACCACCACCACTACCACTACAACCCACCATCACCACCACCACCACAAACCACCACCACACCACCACCAAACCACGACCACGACCACCACCACTACCACCACCCACCGCCACAACCACAAGCCACCACAACAAACCACCACACCATCACCACCACAACCACCACCACCGCCGCCACCACCACCACCACCACCACTACCCACCACCACCACCACCACCACCGTCGTCCTCGTCGACGCTCCCCGCCACCGCCGCCCGCCGCCGCCGCCCGCCGCCGCAAGCGCCGGCGCTGGCCCAGAAATGGAAATCGTCGTCCCCGCCGCCGAAGCAAGCGCCGGCCCGAGGAGAGGGGAAGCAGAGGAGGGAGGGGGGGGTGTCCGGTTTCAACACCCCCCCCCTCCAAGCGACCACAAAACGCGCTCTTTCAAACAACAGCGAGACTTGCCTCCCGGAAGCCTCCTGAGGGCTCTCTGGGAGCACTTTGGAGGTGTCTTGAAGCCCTCTTGGAGGGAGGAGGGAAAATAACGCAGCGGGGAGAAGGGAGGAGGAGAGGAAGGAGAAGGATGTGGAACGGGCCGGGCGACGGAAGAGAACCAAGAGCAAGATGCAGATATCAACGAGGACGGACAGCGAGGGGTGGGGAACACGGAGGGGACGCACTGGGGGGCACGCCGAAGCCTTGGACAGGAGGAAGCGGAGGGTGGGGGCCGACTTTGAAAAAAAAGATGTTAGGCAATACCCTTTTTTTTGTTCAAGCTTGGTCTCCTACAGTGCGGGCGCGGCCGCAAGAAACCCAACCCTGAGAACCCGTGCGCGAGGTGCACCTGAGGGGAAACCCCGAGCACCCTGAACGCAGCAGCTCCTTCAACGGCTGCGGGAAGCCACCGCGCAGCGCGAGGAGCGAAGAAACCCAGGATACCCTGACGAAAAGCACATGGTTTCTTGATGCGCGCCCCCACTCGGGGCAGGATGCTGGATGAGGGAGGCCTCTCAGGGGGCCCTTCTCGGCGCTGGGCGCCTCTGGGGGCGGGTCCGAGGGGGATCGCTGGGGCCCCTTCGGAGCGTCTTCGGGGCCTCGGTGGTGCCGCCTCGGGCGTCATGGGAACCTCTTGTGGCCTCTCGTGGCCCCTTCGCGCCGCTCGGGTCGCCTCTTGGGGGCCAACGCGCAAGCCTCGGAAGCGTATCGGAGGTGGAAGTGCGAGAACATGCAAATGATAGATGTTCAAACAAAAAGTTTGGCCTCTCGAGAACTTCCCCAGAGCAGCTGGGGGACTCATGGAAGCCTCTTGGAGCGATCTTGGGAGCTTCCAGAGCTGTCGGGGGCCGTCTTGTACAACCTTGGAGCACTCTTCGGCTGTATTGGGGGCGTCCTGGGCCGTCTTGAGGCCCTCTGGGGGCTCTCTTGGACGCCCGGGAAGGTGGTTGCGAGGTTCGCTGGCCCGCGGGGAGTGGGGGCGGCATCTGCTTATTTAATAGAGATATAAACATACATGTACTAGAACCGCGCGCCCAAAGAACTCGCATCGCAAGTTGCCGGTGGGGAATGCAGGGACGATTCTGGAGTTCCCTCAGGGTTGGCAGTGGGACCTGCGGCTAATCGACTTCGGGAACTCGGCGACGTGTAGGGGGAGTTGGAGGCTTCTTCAAGGCTTCTTGCGCTTCTCTGGATCCGCCCGAGGACCAGAGGAGGGAGGAGGAGGAGGAGGAGGAGGAGGAGGAGGAGGAGGAGGAGGATGAGGAGGAGGAGGAGGAGGAGGAGGAGAAGGAGGAGGAGGAGAAGGAGGAGGAGGAGGGGGAGGGGGAGGGGAAGGGAAGGGGGAGGGGGAGGGGGAGGGGGAGGGGGAGGGGGAAAGGGAGAGACTGGCTCCGTTGCACACGCCAGGCCGGAACCAAGATGCGCCGAGGGCCGCCGCCCTCCCTTCTGGCCACGCACAGGGGGCCAAACCACGGTGCAACGAGGGCCAACAAATCCCTCTGGGTCGCACTGGCAGGGCCTACAATTCAACAACTTGGGCTTCTCGGGGGCATATCTTATGGAAGACTTTCCAGTCACTTCCAGCAATCTGTGAGCCTCTCGGATATGTGTTTGAGATGCGGCCGCCCTTGCGGGGATGTGAGGGCCGTTTCGGAGCCGTCTTGGGAGCCTCCTGGGCCCCCTTGGAAATCTCTTGGTGCCGTTTGGGCCCAATTTGGAGTCTCTTGGGCTGTGCCGTGACACCATCGAACATAATTTCGAACACCATCTGGCACAATCGAGAATCAATCGGCACAGCATCCGGGCAACATCGAAACCCGACTGAGACATCGTCAGAACACTATGGGTATACAATTGGGACACCAAACTGTTTTGAACCTCCGCGGATGCTGGGGGTGCCTACAGGACATGTTCCCGCAACTCGCTTTCGCGACCTGGGAAACTCCTATGCCGCTTCTTCGCACGCACGGCTCTCGTCTCCCGACGTCAATTCCTCTTAGTCTACCTTCCCTCCTCATTTTCCGCAGAGGTTCCCCCTGCTCACCTCCGTTTCCTCCTCCTCCCCCCTCGTTGCCCCCTCCTCGATTTCTTTTGTCGTCTTCCTTCTCCGGCTCCCTCCCCGATCCCTGCAGCAGGGGCCTCCCCAACTTCGGGCGCACGCCCGATGCTCGGTGTGCTTCCCCCCCCCTCGCGTCCGCGGGGTGTCTTTGACCGACAGACTGGCCGCGCGAATCACATTTTCCAGCGGCCGAGGTCCCAACCGCATGC